CAAACTGAAGTCTATGGCTTCAGCTTCTCAAGCTAGTCTCCTCCTTCAGAAACAACTCAAAGGTACAATCTTTTTTGTACCCAACTCATTCTTGGACTGTTAGCTTAATTGGGTGTCATTAATTTTTATTAGTTTCTCAATTTTGAATGTAAAGATCCTTGCTTTTTTTTAACCATATTCTTTCTTGGACTGTTTGCTTAATTGAGTGTTATTAATTTTTATTATTTCCTCAAATTTGAATATAAAGATCCTTGTTTTCTTATACTTATAGTCATTGACTGTTTGCTTAATTGGGTGTTAATAACTATTAAATTCCCCAAATTTGAATGTAAAGATCCTTGCTTTTTTGTACCATTATTCATTCTTGGACTGTTTGCTTAATTGGGTGTTCTTAATTTCATTATTTCCTATAATTGGAATGTAAAGATCCTTGCTTTTTTTACTTTCAGATCTCTGTAAAAGGCCAGTTGATGGATTTTCAGCTGGTTTGGTTGATGAAAGCAACTTATTCGAATGGAGTGTCACCATTATTGGACCCCCGGATACTTTATAGTGAGTCTTTTACTAGTAGTAGTAGTTTAAAAATTGAAATTTTTATTGTTTTGATTTGATCTTAAAGTTCTTTCTTTTTGATTTTTATTTGGTTGTTAATGGGGTTTCTGTCATATATGATCGATTGAATAAGTTGAGTCAGCTTATAGCTTATAGAAGATTTTGGTTCTTGAATTGTTTTCAGATTCTGTGGATGCTGTAAGTCCGATGACATACCCTTGTTTAAGGTCTGACAATTACTGGAAAAAGTTGTAATTTTGATCCTGCAATTTGTACAATAGGTTATAGCATTTTTTTGTTCTGGCTTATGGGGTTTTCAATTACTATGGAGCTGCGGATTGGATATATTCTTTAATCTGGTGATATTTGGAACCTTAGTAGAGAACTCCTAGTACTTTTTATATTAGTTTCTTATTTTGTATAATATTGGTCTAAGATGAGCCAAGGGGAGCCTTAGCATAACCGGTAAAGTTGCTGCCATGTGACCAGGAGGTCATGGGTTCGAGCCGGAAACAACCTCTTGTAGAAATGCAGGGCAAGACTGCGTACAATAGACCCTTGTGGTCTGGCCCTCCCCCGGACCCTGCGCATCGCGGGAGCTTAGTGCACCGAGCTACCCTTTATTGGTCTGAGAGGAGCGGAATGGAGCAACATGAACAGTGAAGATTCATATAGCTGACACAAACTTGCTTGGGATTGAGGCGTTGTTGTGTTTCTCTTTTCCTGGAAGTTCTGTGTGAATTGTGAAATAAGAATTGATCAATCTACATGTGCCTTACTCGCAAACTAGTTGGAATTGGCTTTATTTCTATCCATTCCGCTCTATTGACGGCATAAAAATCCCTGAAGTTCCTTATGGGACTGCATAGTGGATACAATTAACATTACCATGCTCCTGGTTTTAAAGTATATTCATCACTTTTTTCCTCATCCAAAAGTTCCCAATCACCTTTATTTACTCTTTCATATGTGCTTGATGTAGGTCTTATGATTCGACATGATTTATTATTATCCTTTCCTTAAAATGCCAAACTGAAACTCAGTGCTCGTTCTTGGTTGACTTAGCAGCTCAGTAATCCATATTGATATTTCCTTTTAGGTAGTTTTAGCTGGTTTAAGTTTATGAATCTAGTTAAGAGAATTCCGTCGTCTCAATGTTACTTGTACTGTAGGTTGGGTTGGAAAGACCAAAAGAAATTCCTAATTATGTATTAATTGTTGCAAGTGCAGTGAAGGCGGTTTCTTTAATGCCATCATGAGCTTTCCTCAAAATTATCCCAACAGTCCTCCAACTATTCGGTTTACCTCGGAGGTGTGGCATCCTAATGGTGTGTATCTACATATCTATTTCATAGAGCTGGTAAAGTGATTGATCTTCAGTATCATCATCATCTCGTTGATTTTGGTTCTTTCTTGAAACACAGTTTATTCTGATGGAAAGGTTTGCATCTCAATACTTCATCCACCTGGTGATGATCCAAACGGATATGAGCTTGCTAGTGAGCGTTGGTCTCCTGTCCATACGGTATGTAATATCTCTTTTTATTTCAAGTNCAGGTAAAGTGGACAAACAAATGTTGATAAAATTAAAACAAACATGAACCGACTTTTAAAACAAATCCCACGGACCCCCCCCCAAAGGTTTGGGGTTCTTAATCAAAGGTTAATTAATGTAGCGCATTACATAACCGTAAGATTGAGTTTCGCTTTATGAATGAGCGTGCGAACCTGTTTAGATGATCTAATCTTATTGTCTTGAGTATGTATGTTTTGAATATGTATGACTATAGCTCATTTTCAGTCTGAGTTATGGAAATTTGAATTATGATTCTCATCAGCTTATCTCATAGTTCAACTCAATCTATCAAAATGAAGAAGGTATACAGTAACATAAGTGTACATTTACGCAGAGAATTCCAAACTGATACTTGTAAATAAAAGGAGAAACTTCCAAATTCTGGTGCAGGCTAGGCAACAGCAACAACAAAACATACTCAGTGTATTCCCATAAGTTGGGTGTTGAGAGGGTAGTATGTACGCTGACCTTACTCTTACCTTGTGAAGACCCTCGGCTCAAGAAAGCAAAATCACAGCAGTTATGACAAAGAACTACGCAAATTTTTGAAATTTAATCCACAACAAATTGGTTTAGTTTAATTCCTTACTGTATCAGAGATCATTCCAGTTGTCAAAATGTAATTATAGGTTAATATATTAAAAGCTTTCTAGTTGTTACCTTGTTGAAATAGGTATCTTTAAAACTCCTTTTGTGGATTTTAACTGGATCATGATATTTGCAAAAAGATTTTTTTGAAAGGCAGAAGTGATGTTTGCCATTACAGCTATAATCAGTGGCAAGAACAAGGTATTGCAGGTGCAAATTGCTCTTCGATTACCATAGACACTAAACCATGATCTTAAGATGGACAATTGATTTTACGTTTGCCTCACATAACAAACAGTCTTTTTTGAAGCTAGTCTCTAACTATGACAATTTGCAAAACTTACTCACGAACAGCCACACTACTCTCTTGTACTAGTAAGTCAACGATCAACAACATTCTGATCTCTCACCGTCAAAGCTTAAATCATGAATCAGTTCTGAACTCTCACCACCATACTTAAATCTGGAATCCATGAGAATAGTGTCTTACCCTTGACTATCATTGATGAGACCTCTATTCATCGCTAAATACATTGTAGTAGTAATACCTGTAAGTGGAGGACCACAACCATACTGGCGTGGCTTTCTTTCATCTTTTTTCTGAAATATGGTAAAAAGTATTTGTGATTCCACCAGAGAAAAAGTTTGTTTTCATCAGGTTTTGATGTAGATGACACATCCGAACAGTTCACGAATCATGCTGTTTGATGTGATTCAACTAGCATATCTCGGAGTTATTTCTTATTCTCCAATGTCAGTTTTTATTTTGTCTAGAGAAATTGGATTTAATCGTTTGTTGCATGTATACATTAGAATTGCATTTGTTGTACAGAGTCTAGTTTGTCTATGATTGTATTGCACGTATATATTAGAACTGCATTCGTGCAGTTTCTAGTTAGTGAGTGATTTTGACGTTCATATTCACCAAATAGACATGTATGTGAAATGTGAGGGATCATTTATTTCTGGTGCTTCAGTTGCTTTTGTTTGATCTTCTATGCTGCTTTTCTGTGGCTCTAGTTCTTGTTTTCCTTCTGCTTCATACAACAACAACAAACTCATTGTAATCCCACAAGGTGGGTCTGGGAGGGTAATGTGTACGCTGACCTTACCCTTACCTTGTGAAGGTAGAGAGGTTATTTTCAGTAGACCCCTGGCTCAAGGAACACTGAAATTAAAGCAACAAACAATAGCAATAACAAAGTAATAGGGTAACAGATACGAATGACATAATATGTAATAATAAAGAGCCGGGAATAAAAAAATACAAGAATAGCATTAGTACTATTGGTAAGCCTAGGAGAAACTCACCATTACCTATCAACCTTCATTCCTAATTCTCGACCTCCACACCTTCCTATCGAGGGTCATGTCCTCGGTAAGCTGAAGCAATGACATGTCCTGCCTAATCATGTCTCCCCTGTGCTTCTTTGGCCAACCCCTACCCTTCATCAGACCCGCCATGGTCAACCTCGTCACACCTCCTAACCGTGGCATCTATGTCTCTTCTCTTCACATGCCCGAACCATCTCAACCTCGATACCCGCAACTTGTCCTCCACAGAGGCCACTCCCAACTTGTCTTCGATTCCGTCTACTTCATGGATTCTTAATTTACGGCCTCTGGGCTGTTGTGTTATTGTTAATATGATGACTAATTCTTTGCGCTAGATTATTAATCGTCTATATGTGCTTTATTGTTTTAATGATATAGGATGTTATGAAGTTGTAGGTGAAATAAGTGAGTATATATTATATATGTAGGCAGGCATTAATCCCACTTTTTGTTAAATGATTGTGTTGTCATGTGTCAAATGCTATGAGATTTTGACAATCTTAACTTGTTTGCATCTCATTCTTATAACGCCAACATTCCTTCCTGGGCTTTCTTTTGTGGTTGTTGTTTCTGATTGTTTAGGCGAGCATCAAATCTTTGTATGCTATTTTACTTTGAACACTCAAATTTTGTACATTCAAAATTGACGGCTGTAATATACAGGTTGAGAGCATAATTTTGAGCATCATATCAATGCTTTCAAGTCCTAATGATGAGTCTCCTGCTAATGTGGAAGCCGCTGTAAGTAATCTGATTTATGGATTCTTTTTGCTGCGTTGAGAACCTTAGCTGTCAATTACTAAGACATTCCTTAGGATTTCTGAACTTTTTGCTTAGAAAACCCATCAAAACAATCTACACCAACTAAGGTGTCCTTGACATTTGGTTTGGTGTTGGCTAAAGCTGTTTCAAAATGAAATTCATGCGAAATTTTATAGTTTTTTTTAGGATTGTCTAAGCCTTGAATTTGAAGTGCCGTGAAGAAGATTATGTATGCTCTTCTTTGGAATATAATCGCTTTTATGAGAAAGTTGAATGTTGTTTCACATGTTTTGAGAAAGAATTTGGTTATTTCAACTTGAAGTGGCGGGTTTGCAGGTGTATTTCGACTTGAAATAATCCCCACTTCCATCATAAATCCTCAACCTTGACAAACTCGTTCCAACAAACTACAACTATGCATACATAACTTCAATTTCCAGAGCCTTTTTTCCAAGTTCAACTCTCCAATTACAATCCACAAATGGGGTTTGGGGAGGGTAGTGTGTACACCCCTACCTTGACAAGGTAGAGAGGTTGTTTCTGATAGACCCCCGGCTCGATTCAACTTTAAATAATTTTTTCTTTTGACTTCAACTCAAGTTTTGTCCAGAGGCAAACTTCAAAATATTTTCCCTTTTCAACTCCATAGGATGAATAGGCGTTGTGCCTCGCATTCACTCCATCATTTGCCTAGCTCAAATCATGATTGAGTGTTCACATTGATACAAGTTTTCTGCTGTTAGTACCGTCTTATGCCTTCTATATATTTTTTTTCTGGACAATTGCAGAAGGAATGGAGAGATAATAGAGATGAATTCAAGAAAAAGGTCAGTCGTTGTGTAAGACGGTCTCAAGAAATGACATAAAGACGCGAATGCCAAAAACGGACTTTCTTTCATCAGTTGTTGTTTGATACAAATGTAGAATTGCTGTCAAGGTCTGTCATACCTTTTGTAATATGCCTTTTGTTTTGCGAGTTCGGTCATTATTTACATTTTTGTTAAACTTATTTTAGAGGTTATTACCATTAAGTAAGATTTATTTGGTTTTACTAAAGATGTTGACCGCAGGACATTATGTTCTTTGTCCTCTGTATTTTTCTTGTTAGCCTAATAGATGTCAAATGCATATGTACATCTTGGAAATGTCGTTTTTGCTATAGAATTTACCTCTACTTTAGTCAAATCAATATTAACTCACATCTACTGTTTAAATTGAATACTGAATTTTAGTCAAATCAATATCAACTTACATCTAAACCTATTTTGGCTGTTTAAATTGAATATCTGAATCTGTGGATAGTCAGTTAGTGTTAAATCTGACATATAATTATTAATAATTGAAAGAAGAGGTAGTAAAACCATTACAGATTGCAACCAAAATTGAGGCCCCTAATAATTTTTTGAAGGAATTAAAAAATGATTAGCAATGACCCCAACAACGACGTCGACTTCTTGGAAAAAGGACGAAGATGACTTTAATATGTTGTTCCGGATTTTTGTTTTGTCATTTGAATGTTCGAATTTGGCTTTTGGAGATCATCTTCTCAGATTGTAATGAGATACGAATTATTGTTATCTTCTTTTGTTTAAAACAAAACATTTTGGTTTCGAAAAACATACAATTTTTCTAACGAATATACCACCACACAAAGTATCTAGCAGCTAATTTTATTAATAACTTCGTAGTGAGTGTAGAAGAGTTCTACACTAAACAAATGTGCCAAAAATAAAAACTTGCGAGAATTAAAAATTCGACAATTATATTACCTTAGAATTTATAAGACATTCTAAGGTGATACTACAGCGTGAATAGAAAATTTCTATTGCATGTGTACGCAAAAACACCGCTTTGTTACGAACACTCTTGTTCTAGTCCATATAACATTGTTATAATTAGGTAGTCAACTATTTTCTTTGATACGATTCTTTCAAATATTCCTGAATAGTTTTAATTATTGCTCACAAGATTTGTGATCTGAAATTCTATCTATTTTGTTTTCAGTATGTGTACTTCATTTCAAAGTGGCAAAGGAAATATGTACGTAGTATCTAAATTAAGATCGAAAATTATTTTATTTGATTTTCATACCCGAATTCTGTCTTCTGTTTTAAGAGGGATGAAGTAATATTGACGAGACGTGACCCATGCATGAGTTGCTTCTTTTGCTAATTACGTATTGCTTTTCCCAAATACTTCTTTTGCTAGAAAAGCCTTTGCTTTATGCCCTCTAAATTTTGGGTTCCCAAAAATATTTTTTGCTGTAGATTTACTATTTTATTTTCGCTTAGACATATTGAAGTTTTGTAGAAAAAAATAAAATAAAAATACAAAATCCTTATAAAAAAAGGAAAGAAAGACTAACTATTTTTTAACAATAGAAATATTTTAGAACTTTGAATTAAGATACTCACATCTTCATATTGATAAATAACATTTATTACAATAAGATCCAAGGTAACAAATTATAAATATATAGCTAATATCTTACTAACTTGAATTTTCTTACCAATGTGAATATTAATATTATATTTTATTAGATAACCCACTATAGAGAAAAAGAAAGAAAGAAAAAAAAGAAACCAATGTAATGTTAATACTATATTTTGCAAGATAACTATATCATCGACAAAAAATATATAAATTAAGGCCCCTTATTAAAATTTGGCTTTAGGTTACGAGTTTATTGAGACGCCTTTGGTCATTGTGCTAATGTTCCATATTAAAACTAATGAACCATAGCAAGTAGGACAAAAGGCTAAGATACACATCAATTTTTGACTAAAGCAAACATTTTTAAAAAGAAAAAAACAAGGTTTTAGAAAGGTTTATTATCCCTAATTAATTTGCCCAAAAATCCTAGCGGGTGCAAAGAGCGATTTTCCGAACTTGAGGCGGTCACGGAAACAAAACCAAAAATTTTACTTCTGAAATTGCGTCGGGTCCATCTATAAATAACACCCTTCCCCTTCAATTCTACCCTTCTCATGCAATTTTGATCATGACTGAGGCTTGCGATAAATGCGGCGCTCCAATTTCACGATTGATTGGAGTACGTTTTTCTATATTGAACTTCCCACTAAAATTTGGGTTTCTCTATCTAATTTTCTGTCAGTACTGGAATGACAGTGATTAGAGGAATGTACGAAGGATTTGGAAAAGAGTGACCCGATTGTTTGCTTCAAATAAATATAAAAGTGCATAACATTATGTCTTATTACACAAAATTTTAGGCTTTTGCCATAGTTAATTAATGTCTTAATTGTGGCTAGTGATCCTTGAAGTGTGGCTATAATTTCATATTTTAGTACATTATTTACCTTACATTTTAGATGCTTTAATGTTAAACTATACTTTGTTTACGCGTAATGAAATCTATTTTATGTTGTCACGACCCGAATTTTCCACCGTCGGGACCGTGATGGCGCCTAACATCGCACACGCTAGGCAAACCAACATTAGACTTCTATTTACCTTTTTCCTTTACATTTTATAGTTATAACTAGCAAGAACTAAATCAAATGGAAATAATTACGGAAGCACATAATTTACTGATTATCCATATGCTATTAACAAACACCGAAAACTGTTACCACCCAGAAACTGGTGTCACAACCCACAAACATTCTATGAATATCTACAAGTATGGGTCTGAAAGAAAATACATCTGTCTCAAAAAAAAAAAAGAAATGTAGAAACATAGGAGGGGACGCCAGGGCCTGCGGACGCCTGCAGGTCTACCTTGTATCTCCCAAGTGAATTCCTGCAACCGACCTCTCGATCAACCACAACTAGCTCCAAAATCTGCAAAGAAAGTGCATAGTATAGTATCAGTACAACCGACCCATGTACTGGTAAGTACCGAGCCTAACCTTGATGAGGTAGTGACGAGGCTACGGCGGGGCACATACAATATAACCTACAACAGTATATAATAAAGCAAAAAGGAAATACGGTCCGAAATGGTACAGTAACTTGTAGCAAATAAATACGGAACCCAGTCATCCTACCAGTACTCAGCTATAACCAATCCTTAAGAGAGTTTCAATGCTACAGAATAAAATCGCAGTAGAAGAAGAACAGATAACAACAAAATGATGCGGCGCGCATCCTGATCCCACCATATAATCAGCAACAATAAGAACATTCACCCTTATTACTCTTTGTTGCGGCATGCAACCCGATCCCACCAGTCCACACTTATTACTCTTTAATATATCACCCTTATTCCTCTTGTTACGGTGTGCTACCCGATCCCACCTGTCCACCCTTATTACTCCTTGTTGCTGCGCACAACCTGATCCCACCAGACAATCACATTTCCCCCTTATTCCTCCTGTTGCGGCGTGCAACCCGATCCCATCATATCAATACCAATCACACAATAAAAAGAGAAATTTCACAATTTAGCTTAAAAACCCTCCACAATATTTAAACCTCAAACCAAGTCAAACAGAAGACTATACAATTATGAAATCTCATCAATTATTACTACACAGCGAGACCAACCAAAATGTATCATGAAACACCAATAAACTAACTTGAACCAATAATGTAATAAAATAAAACTACGGAACAATTAATACTTTCAATAAGGAAAACAACATCTAACAAGAAGCAATTAGACATATAAATATCAATAAGCATGTAGCAGTTAAAATATGAAGACAATGTGTTGGGAACGGGGAAGGGAATAAGCTAAACAATAATTTGACAGCGCATAGGTACTCGTCACCATACTTATACGCCACACACATGGAATTTCACATAGCAACTAAGTCGGGGATTCCTAATTCCTCGAGTCAAAGTTAGACCAAATACTTACCTCAAGCCAACGGGCAAATCAAAGCTTAATTACCACTTTACCTCTCGATTCCACCTCCAATCCACGCGTATCTAGTCATAATTAACTTAATAACATCAATTATTGCTAAAGAAATCGATTCAAATGCATAATTATAGGTTTCCCAATATTTTTCCCAAAAAGTCAAAAATCGACCCCGGGCATGCTTGGTCAAAACTCGAAATTCGGACCAAAACCTGATTACCCATTCACCCACGAGCCCGAGTATACAATTGGTTTGGAATCCAACTTCAATTTGAGGTCTAAATCCCCAAATTTCAAAATCCTTAAATTCTACCAAAAAATTCCCAATTCCAACATGAAAACCCCTAGATTCTAGGATGAAATCTTGTTAAAAGGAGTAAAAAATTGAAAGAAATGAGTTAAGAATCATTTACCTATGATTTGGGAAAGAACTAGCCTTTGGAAAATCGCCTCTTGAAGTTTAGGTTTTGAAAAATGGGAAAATGAATGAAAAATCCCGTCTAAGTCCCAAGTTATCAGGTGCAGATGTCGCATTTGGGATCTGAGCTTCGCAATTGTGAAGCTTGCAAATGCGAAGAACCATCGCAATTGCGAAGTCCTCCACATTTCTGCTGCCTTCGCAATTGCGAAGGTAAGTTCGTAAATACGAACATGATCCTCTGCAAATGCGATGAAATGATCGCAATTGCGATCCCTACCCTTCCCAGTTTTACTTCGCAAATGCGAAGAAATTTTTGCAATTGCGAAGACTGCTTGCCCAGCCTTCCTTCGCATTTGCGATGAAGGCCTCGCAAATGCGACCTCCACAGTAGTCGCAAATGCGAATCTTGACCTCGCATTTGCGAGGTCTGAGGCCTGCAACATATCTGAAGAACACCAACAACTTTTCCCAGTTCCAAATCACTCCGTAGCCTATGCAAAACTCACCCGAGCCCTCGGGGCTCCAAACCAAATATGCACACAATTCTTAAAACTTGCTCTCGTGATCAAATCGCCAAAATAACACCTAGAACTACGAATTTAGCATCAAATTGCATGAAATTTTCAAGATAGTCTCAAAACTTCTATTTTCTCGACCTAAGGTCCGAATCATGTCAAATAAACTCCGTTTTCACCAAATTTCACAGACATGATTTAAATATTATATTAAACCTGTACCGGGCTCCGAAACCAAAATAGGAGCCCGATACAAATGAGATCAAACATTAATCAATTTCTTTAATTCTTTAGATTTTAAGTCTTACAATTTTCATCAAATATTCATTTCTCAGGCTTGGGTCCTCAGAATTCGATTTCGGGTATACACCAGGTCCCATATTTTACTATGGACCTACCG